CCTATGGTAGTATGCGTATATATATATATACATATATATATATATATATATATATGTTTATTTATTTATATATATATATATATATATATATATATAGGTGTATTGTTAACATTTGCACAGAAATGAGTGTGAGAGCAATGAACAAATTCAATCATGTTGGATTATTCATAGGTGTTTTTATACTTACTCGGGAAATAGCCCGTCACTCGCATAACATTGTCTCTGCCCATGACCGTATCGTAGATAGCTGGTATTTCAATGACGTCACTGTGATCTAGTCCCAGCTCCCTCGTCAATATACCCCTGTTGTAGTCTAGATATTCCTGTAGTCGCACGAAGTAAGACCAAAAATTAGGCTTATTAATTATTGAGTTAACGTTGCTTTAATTAAATCCATATTGTTGCCTTCGCTGCTGAATCAGAATAATTAACATTGGTACGTAGTTTTGTGTGTGCAGTATTGCCTGTAATTTCTGCTAGCCGATCAATCACACGTGGTCGAGTGCTGTGACTTTACCTGGCATCTTTGGTTAACGTCGTAAAACTTGTCATTTGATAGAAATTGAGACACCGTGATGTCAGCTTCTCCGCGATAGAAGGACAGCGGCTTGTCTGTAAATCAAATAAACACATCGAATATATTTACACCGAACAGTGTTACACATAGCAGCCCGGGACTCGTAAATTTTAAGTAGGACTGGGTAATTTTTATGGATTTTGCTATTGGTCATATATAATAGAACACCAACTTTTTTCGAAATCAGAACTGGCTGGGTTTTCAGATTTATTTCAAATGAAAATTCCTTGATTTTAATCAGCATAATCTTAGTCTGACCTACTAATCCTCATGCTGACCGTGCATATACCTGCAAACATAAGCAGATCGCCATATCGGGAGCCTTGTAGGTCGTTCATGATATCGTAGAAAGCTCGGGTACTAGACAGCACAATTTTAAAGCCCTATAACAGTAACAACAGCGAAATATAACAGCAGAACAAGGATCTGTACACGTGTTACGCGCGCGTGGACGTCCTTGTGTGTGTGTGTGTGTGTGCGTGCGTGCGTGCGTGCGTGCGTGCGTGTGTGTGCGTGTGCGTGTGCGTGTGTGCGTGTGTGTGCGCATGTGTGTGCGTGTGTGTGCGTATGTGTGTGCCTGCATGTGCGCGTGCGGTGTATGTGAGCGCGTGTGGGCGCACGCAGCTGAGATGTTAGAACCTAGTTCACGAACTAACCCTAAAATCTTCACAGAAATAATCAGATCAGATGTTTAATCAGATGTTTAAATTCGACCACGATCGCGCCTTTTTACCTTCTCAGTATTCGGCGCAGGAATGACGCTCATAAACTCGTCCACATGACCGACGAATAGCCAATCAGAAAATAGTTCTATGGGCGCCTGGATGATCTGCGCTTCCAGAAAGCCTATGAGGGCGTTTGATGTTTTGCGGCCGCGCCACCCACCTCTGTTAAAAGAAGTGACGACGTGTGTGAACACCACCGCCAGGCAATACTCACACACACACACACACACACACACACACACACACACACACACACACCTTGCACGTGAAGACTCGCCTCACGTGCGCGCGCCGTGAGAGCTTCCGTGTTTCGTTTCTTCCCGTAGCAGCGAGGGAATTAACTCGCAAGAGAAGAAGAAACAACTGCTAACGCTGTCCGTGGCACGGAAAGCGAGAGGCACATAGAGTCACAGAGAGACACTGAGAGAGAGAGAG